TTCATGTTTCACGTTGAGCTGCTCGTGAGCCCTGTGTCGACAATAATCCAGAGAAACAGGGACCAAGTGAGACTCCCTGGCAGAGTGCATCTCACTGACTATGCTGTGTTGCTCTCCTTCAAATATGGTGGTTCGGCACTACTTTAGGAAAATACTCAGAATGTGTTGTCGCATCTAATGGAATGATCTTTTCAGGAATCTTCTCTACTGTACCATACAGTATTATTCATTGGGAACTGAAAGGAAAAAAATTTTTCAAGTTTCATATCAGGGGCTGGCCCAGTAGTCTAATAATTAAGGGAGCTGGACCCCACCTGGCTGGCCATATGGTTCAAGTTCCAGTCACTGGCTTGAAACATGACAGGCATTTGTGCACATATGCCCAAAATCCTGAAAGGAGAATGAAGGAGAGGGAATTGTTGCCTGGCCACCTCCCCTGGGGGGTGCTTTCTCACTTTCCCTCTCTCTCTCCAGCAAATGCATACACACTGCAGCAAATTCAAAACAAAACAAAAGAAACCTTACCATGCTACTTGCTACACGAGAGATTCTAATAATAATGTGTTACTATCATTGTAGGAAGGGGAGAATCCAGTCAGAATTGAATCCCTCTGTTCATCATACCCAGGCCTCTCGTTCCAACTTCCAAGTTGAGAATCAAGGTGATAAGCTATGTCACAGAGTTTTGGTCCTTCCTCATCATAAAGCCCTAAACTTCAGGCCCAGTGCCTTGCACTGTGTGTGTGTGTGTGTGTGTGTGTGTTGGGGGGGAGCGGGGTATTTGTTGAATTTGAACCTAAGGACAGGGTAGGAAGACAACTTATGTGGAGTTACAACTTCAGACTCTGGTTTATCCAGGTAGAAACCCTAAGCCAGGCTATAAATGCTCAAAAATGTTACTGCTTATCCCTGTCTTAAAAAAAAAAAAAATGAAGAAGGCAAAGAAATCAGAAAAAAACCACTGGTTTAAACACTCAGGCTTGGCTTTGAGTCCATAGTCCCACCTTGAGAAAATGCCTTTTTGTCTTTTAAATTGTTTTTATTTGCCAGAGAAAGAGCATGAAAGAGAACACCCCCGTGGGGATAGTCGCACTGCAACCCCATCTTCTCCATCTCTCCCTCCTTTCAGGATCCTGGGCACACACACACATGTACCTGGGCCCCCCCCAAATCCTTGGCACAGAGCCTGGAACACCCAATGCCATCTCAGTTTCTCTGTTGACATCATCACAGATCTTAGAATACATTTTGCATGCCACATTTGCTATGACCGTAACTCCCATGCCCAGGCTCATGTTCAAAGGCAACACTCAGAATGGAGGGCGAGGCGGCCTAGAGAGCCACAGGTACTGACTTGATGACCTTGGGGAGGGATGTGGTATCCAGCTGGGAAATGGACAGGTCGAAGAGGGTAGTAAAGTCCCGTGGGTTCTCATCACCCTCCTGGAGACACACTCGAAGCCGCTCAGACAGGGTGGTGGTATCAGGCAGCATCATATAGTCGGAAATCTGAAAGCCACAAGAGGGTTCCTTTCAGCAGAGGAGGTGCAACAGTTTCTTCTGTCAACTCTTCACTGTCTCAGCAGAAACCTTCAATGATTATGCTCTCTTGCTAAGAGGGCTCACTGCTCCCGATCACTGATAACTAAACCTTACATATGCTACTTTGTGTGGAAAGAGGAAGCAAACACTCGGCTAAACCCCACGACTGGCTGAATCTAACTCTCCAGTGACTCACGTAGTACCCACACAGCTGAACGCAGCTTGAGAAACACTATGACTGTGCTGCTGGTCTCCATTCAGTTTCCGGACCTCTGATGGGAAGTACCTGGCAATCAACTCTGTCTTCCTGGTCCTCTCACTTTCCCACCCTCCCAGGGGATACTTCCCTTTTGTCACTTCAACTGTCCAAAATGATTGTCTCTTTTGCATTTTAGCAGATGACTTTATTTTTTATTTTTGTTTGTTTGCCATAGGCTGCATGAGTTCACTGGAGAAAGACAGAGACATAGAGAGGGAAAGTGAGAAATCACCCCTGGGGAGTGATGACCATGCCCCAATCCCCTCTCCTCTAGTCTTCTCTCAGGACTTTGGGCATGCACGCACACGTGCCCAGCATGATACTCGAGTCACTGGTCTGGGACTCCAACAGCAGTTGGCCATGTGGGAGTCCTGTACCATGCCACCTCCTGGCCCTTTATCTTCTATTTTAGTGAGAAAGCAGAGGCAATCATAAAGTCCGCAAGCTCCTACCCCCACATGTGTCCACCCACCAATACCTGGGCCACACCCTCTGCTTCCTCCCCAGTTTGTTAGTTGTCAATATCCACTGACTCTGCTGCACAAAGGGATAAAAACAGAACAGCCAAGAGATTCCAGATCACCTCCTTCTGCACGCTCCTGAATGCTCAGACTGAACTTCAAGAATTAGGAAGAAACGCACCATCCGTCAGATGATGAGAATCACTGCGGGGCCACAAGAAATATAGGAAAGCAAGAAAATATCTCTCCTCCAAGGGAAAAGAATAACTCCTCCTCATCCACAGACAGTTCAATAGAAATCATGTAAATGGGGACCAGCAGATGGCACGGTGGTTAACGTGCTGGACTCTCACATAGCAGACTGAGGTTCAAGTCCTGGACCTGGTGGCTTGCTTTCTCATTCTCCCTCTTTCCTTCTCTCTCTGCCTCTATTTGGTCAAATTAAAATAAATGAATAAATTTAAAAAAAAAAGAAATCATGTAAATGCCTGATAAAGAATGTAGAATATTCATAATGATGAAGCTAACAGGGATGGAAGAGAAGAGAGACCATAAATTGCAAAAGAAGCAAGAGAAAGGAGCTGATGAGTTCTAGATGGTGAGGAAATTCTTGCAATATCTGAAAGAGGAAATATACACTTTTAAAAAGCATCAAATGAACCTGTTAGAGATGAAGGCTATAATATTCAAATGGATCTGTTAGAGATGAAGGCTATAATATAGGAAGTAAAAATCTCCCTTGAAAGTATTAAAAGCAGACTAAATCATATAGAAGATAGGATGTCAGACATAGAAGTGAAAATTGCTGGCCTAGAAAAATCCACCACAAATACTGAGAAAATTGCCCCCAAAAATGAGAATAATATACAAGAAATACTAGATACCGGGGCCAGCAGGCAGTGAGGTGGATAAGGGCGCTGGACCATGATTCAAGTCCTGGGCCTGGTGGCTTGCTTTCTTACTTTCCCTTTCTCTCTCTCTCTCTCTCTTTGGTGGTCAAAAA